CAGGAGCAAAGGGTCAGAGTTATATACAGGACCAGAGCTCAGGCATTCTTAGGTCACACCATTATGCTAAAGCCATCAAGTCATACTAGAAGCTCATAATAGCAACACCAGTGGAAATGATTGCCCATCCTTAAAGCTTTTTGCTTTACATAAAAAAAGTCCAAGAAATGCTGTTCAGCGAATATATTCTGGAACTCCATGAAAGTATCAATTTCACAAACTATTCATTATGTAGGAATATATTAAGAAAACTGCAACCCATTATGGGACACTTGGTGTCCTGGAAATCCTCTTTAAGGACCCCAGTATGCATGTAAAATCTTCCTATGGCTCTGGGTATAGTCCAATCAGCAGAGTGGCCCATCTCAGCTTCCATTCATCCACCCTGACACCAGAATACCAAAAGCATTTAGTTGGGAAACAGGCACTTGCAAAATCCTTCCTCCACTTTCTCTTAATTTTTGTTATATAAATTCTATATTTCCTGGAATAGAGGCTCTGAACTGCTGAACTCAGTCTGAAGTCAACACAGCTAACAAGCTCATTTATATTAATAGGAAATCAACTGTTCCTTTTTGCTGGTTTCCCAGTGGAGCAGCTGGTGGTCTGCTTTTTCCATCCAGCCATCCTACTCCATACTGAAATGCCTCAAAAATATTTGCTAGATAGAAAATGTTAGTGGAAACCAATGTTGCTGATGTGAAAAACAAATAAATAGAGAAACCCGCAGATTCTTCTGGTCAATTAGACCTTCGGAAGGTGGTAATATTTTTTGTATATTTTAGATAGCACTTAACAGCTGTCTTCCAACAGTCTCATGGCTTTTAATGGCTAGTCATAAAAAAACCCCAAACCGTAACAGAACAAAACAGAGTTAGAGCTATGGTGACATTATTTGCCAAGAGCTTGTATTTAGGTGTTTGGATGTAGCTGCTATAACGTATCAGACTAAGAATTATTTCCCTTGCCTAGCCTAGCTGGTCAGCACTGGCTGTTCAGGGAAGAAAATCTGCACAGGACAACCTATGGGCTACTCTATTCATGGGGGAGAACGAATCATTTTTGCTTTATATTATTAACCAAAGGGTTTATATACCTTCTAACTTATTGATTCTTTGTCTTGTACTGTGATCTTATTTTCCATTCAGTTGCCATTTAGAGTGTTTAAACTTTTTGGAGCTCCTGGGCCATCCAGGCTTTCCCATTAGTGCGGTGGCAGTTCACAGCTGGTCTGAGGCTGGAGAGCCACTGTCATCTTGGAGGTGGAATGGGGCCCTGTGGATGGCCCAGGGTTGTACTTGGGTCCTAATGACAAGCAGATTGCACATTTGCATAACGATGTAAATGAGTGACCTGACCACAGCAGGAATGGCATGTCTTTCCCAGCCCTTCATTACCACTGTACAAGATTGGACATTAGCCATGAAGGTTAGAGAAGAGGTCACCTTCCCATGCTTTAACTAAGCCTTCAGAGAGAGACACTCTCTTGGGATTTGTTTCCTGCATAATATTGCCTGAGGTGCCATGCTAGGGGTGCGGGGGCCCAAGGCTCCCATGTGGAGTGGCAAACCCTGTGGTCCTCTCTCCTCCTTGGCACGGCTGCGATTACCTTCCTCTATGGCTCAACCAGATGCCTGGTGTCATCCACACCGTGCTGGCTGTGATGGGGTCACAGCAATGAAAGGCAGCAGTTTCTGCACAGCCACACAAGCCCTAAGTATTACGAGAGGCTCGGAAGGTAAGTGCATGCTTGTGTAACACTGTAGTATTTGATAAGCTCTGTCTCAGACTCCTGCACTTTGGGGACTTATTTTTTTAAGGCTTTTTTGGCTTTGCCAGTCTCTCATGATTCAGAAAAAAATGTCTCCAATTTATTTTATCATCTGCCTATTAAATCTGCCTGTAAAGAGGAGTAAAACTAGACCATGAACATCTATGGGAATTCATTTCTGTTAAATAATTTAAATCTGTACTTTCTCATGCCTGGATCAATCTTCATCTCACTGTCCCCTAGTGTTCGCCTCTTCACTGTTCGGGAGAGTGCTAGAAGCTGCATCACTGTGCAGTTCATTTTAAGACTAATTATCATCACGAAAACAGCATTTTACATTATGCATTTCTTCTGTTCAGCACATAGACCAATTTATTTTAGCTTCAGTTATTGTTAACCACATGTCTGTCAACATTATAAAAATGGCACTGGGTATAGCAAAACATAAGCTTGCCTTTAGAGTAGAGATGTGAGTTCATTGCTTAATTATACAGGGATTAAATTGTATGATGCAATGTTGCACAAATTTGTTTTTATTTTCCAAAGCTAATGTTAGTGTTTAGTACTTGTGTTTCTAACCAGAAACCGCAAACTTTCATTGCTGTGACACATTAGTCTCGGCTTCTGCCTGGATGGTTGCAGATGATACTCTGGGGCGAAGTTCCCTCTGAATGCTCTTGCTTGCTGAATAATAATGATGTTGCAACTCCTAGGAGCTCAATTTCCTTAAGCAAAGTGGGAAGGAAGGTAAGTAAGTAGAAAAAGACAGTATGGAAGAATCTAATCCATATTTTATACGCAGAGATCTTCCTACAAAAACCCTTGTAAATTATTTAAATTGTTACTGACTCTTCTGAAATGATCAAAATATATTGAAAATCTGAATCCTTCCTCGTGTTCATCTGTGCTGAGATCCCTAAGCATCCTTCTTCGTTTTGATGCCACGATACGATGTTACGTGCGAGCAGAAACGTCCCTGGAGAAGGCAGTGACGTGTCTAGGAGTGAGGGCCATGCTGCACCATCTGTACTTTCAGCAGCCCAACTTCCAGCACTGCGTGTCAAGTTAAACTCTGGAAAAACTCCACTGAGTTTATTAGAGAGACAATTAAAAGTAATACAATAAAGTGCCCATGGCCAAACAAAGCAGGGCACTTACTTGCCAGATCATTCCCTAGTACACGTTTAACATTGTGTTTAATGGTATGATGTAAAGTGTTACACAGTGCTGTGTCCTCAGGCTGTGGAGGCAGCCGGTGCAGACACAGCCAGGAGTGCCCGGCACCGGTGAGGGCTGCCTGTTTGATTAACATTTGGGATTATTGGCAGTTGCTTGGCTCGGTGTGAGGCGGACATCAGCTTGCTCTGAGTGTTCGGAAAACAGGGATGGTGGTTTTGTAGGTGGTTTAGAGGTTGGTGTGTAACAGAGAGAGTAACAAAAAGGTGCCTGGTGTAGTCTAAATAAGAAGAATCACAGGAAAGTCCATCCAGATGGGAAGGAAGAGGTAGTGGGGTTATTGCTGATGGAGCCAGAGAGGAGGGATTGCCTGAGAATGGGGGCTGGAGGTGAAGGAAAGGAGACTAGAGAAGTGAAAAAGCTGCTGCATTTCATTAATCTGTATAAAGTCTGGAAAATGCTTTATGTTGTTGGTAGAAAAGTAAATCTACTCACATTGGCCCTGGTAACATTTGGCAGCTGGTGCCTGATGTAAGGCTGAGGCTGGTGCTGAGCAGCCAGTGATGGCTCTGTGGCCACTGAGCTGCCACTGGTGATGTGGACTGGGAGGGATCCTGCTTTCCACACAGGTCTTCTGCCTTGTGGTTTACTTTAGCCTTTACTTTAACAGGGCTGAGGGTATGTGGGGTGGAGGGTCTAGGTAAAATGAAGAAAAATTCATGTAGTATATGTTAACTATGGCAAAAATATTTTGTATCTATAGATTTGGCATGCAATAATGAACCACAACGCCTCAGGAGATAGGCATTATTTTAATTGACTTGATAAAGTAAGTCAATTCATAGAGAAAACCTCCTTGGACAGTATAATTACAGATACTGGATTATAACTCAGGAACTTGCATGCTCAGGCTGGCAGGCAAATAACAAGAAAACTCATTAGCAGAAAGTGGAAGAGGAAGACATATGTTGTAGGAATTTCTCCACTTTCTAGTTCTTCATTTGTAAACTTCCCTTCAAGTTCAGTGACTTAATCTTATTAGATGTCATTGTCACTGCTTGTTATGAAACTCAACTGTTGATTTAGATTTTTCTAAAAAAGATCTTACTAAACTGAAAATTAAAACTAGTAAATGCAGAAACAAGCTATTAAAATGCTATGCATGGACTTCCGTGAGATTTGTCCACTTGTGCATTGTAGAACTGTGCACTTTCATTTGATTTGTACGTGCAGGAACCTGTAAGTGTTCATGGAGTGCAGAACTGCACGAGCAAGCAGTTGGTCTGGGTAGAAATTTGTGCTTATTTGCTATTTTCACATTTTTAAATGGCCATAAATTAACATTGACATAAATCAGGGTGTTCAGATTAGAGTTCTGAAGACTTACAGAAACTGCACTTCAGTATAAAAAAATGTTGATGTAATCAACTCAAAGTAAATATTCCTGAGCAGTTTGAATTACTGTTGCTCTGATGACTTGCATAATTTAACCAACCCACTGCTTAATCTAATGGAGAAGAAAACCACAGTGGCTCTAGCAGAAAGCCCAAGTTTTTGCCTCAAAACCTGCAGAAAAAGCAGTCTGTTTGTCTAGTTTTCACACCCAAAGCTCTTTGTCTCCAAACCTCGGCTGTTCTCCCATCTGCGTCTGGTTCTGCATCTGCACGATCGCATGATCAGGATGCGGGTTTCCAGGCGCTGGGTGTGTGACAGGGATATCCCCGTGTGCTGCACATCCCTGGTCTATGTACAGAGAAGCTGGGACATGCCCCGGTCCCTGAGCCCAGTTGTGGCTACAGGAGGTGCAGGTAGATTCTGTCCATGTACGGTGAGGGCTGAAGCCCACAGGTTTATGCACTGAAACCGTCAGACTTAAAACAGGAGGTGTCAGGCTCGGCACTGCTTTCCTGAATCACGGCCTTACCCGTGAGCAAATAACATATGTCTAAACCTGCTGTCAACTGCAATGAGCTAAAGCAGAAACTCAGTGCCAGCTGAAGGTAGTTATATTTTTGGCCAGTATATATGACCATGAAACAGAGCAAATAAAGGCTTTGGTTTATCCATACCTTTTATTTATTTCTGTAGTCTGTAGTAAGGGACCATTGCTTTAAAATCCTTAGACATTTGGACATATTTTACAAGACAGTACAGTTTCTGAATGTCACACATTGATCACAGTTTCATACTACTACATGCATATAAAGACACTGATTTTTATTTTTTTTTTCATAGTTTGTTTACGGAAACAATTGGAGAGGTCAATAAACTTCAACAAAGAATGACTAAATCAAAGTTACAAAAAATGTAAGACTCTCAGTACACTAGTATATGGCTAATGTTGCTGTAATCACCCCGAAGTGTCAGGGTATTGAAACATTACTTAAAAGGGGAGAAAACACCTGTTGATGCATTGCCGCTTGGGTCGATCCAATATAACCCAATGAAGAGATTGTACAAGATGTGCAGGATCTGATGGGCTGTTGGACAGAGGCATGAAGCACTGCCCTTCATTACAGACACGCTGAACTGGATTCCCCACTGCTTCCCCATTGCACAGGTTAAAAAAAATAACTGAAGTGCAAGGCAATGGAGAAACCTGTCATATTTTGCTCTTTCTCAAGCTCGGTCACAGTTGGCTTTAATTTCCACATACAAAATCAATTCAATCTACATGTACTAGCAAAGCCACAGGAAACGTACATTTTTCCAGTTTTAATTTGTTGTTAAATATCACATTTTTCTTTTAAAGGGAACACCACAGCTTGCTTATCTGGGACTTGCTTATCAAGGACTGTGGATGCTCACTGCTGCCCTTTGGAGAGGTCACTGGGAAGCCCTTGCCCGGGGCTCTTGGGCGGCTCTGCAGGCCCAGCAGCCATCCTGTGCTTTGGGAGAAGGAAGACCTGAGGCTGGTCCCCAGCCCTGTGAAATGCTGAGCAGCTGCCATGTGCAGCACAGCAATAAACTGCCCTGGCATCCTTACGTGGGCACGGAGTCATTAGTAAACAGCACTTCAGCAGTGCCTCAGTAAGTGTTTTCTCCCCATTCAGGAACTGTTTCACTGGCCTGATTAGAAAAGCAGAATTCTGCTGCAGTAAATTGGGGTGTATTTTTCAAATGCTAATCTAGTTGGAAAGTGAATTTGGTTGGTAGCTGTGGCTGGTCTTTCTGATTGCAATATCATGGCTTCAAAATAACATGGAGATGCCGCTCCCCCCAAACACACCAGTGGGGAATGGCTCAATGCAAAAGCAATTTTCTGCACCCACCACCAAAAACCCAGAAAGAATGAGGAAAAAAAAATGTTCTCTGTCTTTGCCACAAGCCAGCAAAGCTGATATAAATAAAATGAATCCCAGTGCCTGGATGAGCCAACATGTGGCTAGTGGTACTTAGAGGCAGCGAAACACAACAGGAAGAAGAGGCATAATGGGCAGAGCTCCTAAATGAAATACAGAGAGTAAAGAATAACAGATGAATCCTAAAATGATCTTAAATGTAGATTACCAGAGGTTGTGACACAATCAAAGGTAACCGATGGCCCATCTGCCGGTAGTATCCTCCCAGCATCAGCAAGTCCATGGACTGGGGGCTCAGAATGTGGAACTGTGTGGTTGAGTTTGTGGTCCTGCTGTGGGGACAGTCACCTGTGAGTCTGGGATGCTGCTTGTGGCATCAAGCCCGCAAAGTGTGAGCTAACTTGAAGAGGTGCTCAGTCAAGATTGGGATGATGTCATTGTCATCCTCTTGCCTGAAGGTTTCCCTCCTTTCTCAGGCTTTCACTGGCCTGTCTGTTTCCCATTCCCTCACCCCACTGGTTTCCTCGTAGGTGTTGTAGTCAGACACCTCCATCCCTGAGGTCATACAGAGCTTTTAGTTTTTCATTAGCTTTTAGAGATATGGGTCCAAATTCTTTACTGGGCTAAATGGGGCACAGCTCCATTGACCTCAATGGGCTTTTACTTACAGCAGCAAAGAATTTGGCATTTCATGCAAATTTGGCTCCCTCGCTTCCACTAGGCTCTAGCCTGGGTGGGTCTTTGAACTGAGCCCAGCGTGACTATTAATTTTTGAAGGTAGTGTTGCTACAGCCTTGAAAAGACCCTTTAAAAAATGTCAAAGGTTAATCCTTGTTCAGTCCTACAGAATATCAGTAGTATTATTTCTAGTTAGAAAGAAAAATGAAGCTTTCTCTTCTAAGCCTGTAGACTGAAAAGTTCTTGTGCGATGAAGCCAGAATCAAGCAAAGCAAAATTCTGAGTAGTATTTACAGATATGAACACTTGTGGCACCCTACCATTGGTGTCAAAGGACACTTATTTGTGGCTTCGGTAATACCAGCAACAAAGGGGATACACACCCCGGATGCAGACTTTCAGTTTTCATAAGGTTCCTTTTGTCTGGCCAAGACAAAGTTTCAGTGCAAGAGCCTAAATCTCATCAGCAGAGGGTGTGAAACACATGCTGGAAAATAAACATTTCTTCTTTGAAGGGCTGGTTAGTATTTGGGTTGTTTCTGTCACGGTGTAGGAGGGCTACCTGCAGGGGCAAATTTAAGACTGGACTGACTAGAAGCTTTCTATGGTTTTGTTGACAATGCTCAAACAAACTTACTGATATGGAAGGTACCTTTTGAAGGGATTTATGTGATTGTTGATGATAGATATAGCAGGCTATTGCATTAATTGCTCTAATTTAATTTCCATTTTAATACCTTTGTGTGTAAATGGATCTTGCTGATACATAATCACATGCAGAACTGTGTCTGCTGGTATTCTGTTTATTTGGGTGGTAACTGGACTTTCTGAAACACATGTTTTCCCACATTAATTCTGTTTCAGGTTTATTGGCTAGTCTGGTGGGCATATAAGAAAATCACACAAGCAAACAAAAGGAAACAAGACCAAAACTCCAATTTTGGAAAAAACATGGCCACTGACCAGACTGCTGGGCAGATTCAAAAGGAAATATTTGTGCAGAGCTACAGAGCTGGTCCAAAGCTCATTCTCATGCTAGACTTCAAGAGGCCATGAGATAGCTTCAGGATCCATATTTATCTCATGGACTTTTTATTCAATTTGTGTCATGGTACAGCTATAAAGGAGCAAGAAAGATCATTAAGTAAGCAGGTACATGGGTGGACTTTATCATAAACAAATCCAAATCCACTCCCTTTCTCTATATTTTTTCATTCCCCCCATAGTTTTTTCTCCTTTCCTGATGTTGTCTGGGACTGAAAACAGAAATTCCAAAACCCAGTGGGAAATGAGTCTTGACCCTTCTGGTTTAATGCAGGAAAAGCTCCCTCAAAGGTGGCAGCTTTGCCTGAGCATCGTCAGGTCACCGCCTTAAAGTAAGAACCTGAATTTTTATGTTTATCCAAACACCATCATAATTATTAGGACAGTCAGATTCAAATCACGTCTCTTGTTTATGCTCTCAGCTTAATCGATGTAAATCTGGGAAAACACTGATGTCCAGGCTGTAGCTAACACTGAGGCCAGTGTGTTTGCTCACATTTACACTGCCATAACTGAGAATCTGGCCCACTCTGTGTTTCTCAGAAGGAACATCTTAGTTTCCATAGCCAGCCCCCGGTTATTTTAACGTACCACAAACAGGAAAATATGAAAACATGACAACATAAGACAAACTCAGTGACCTTTCGCAGACGCACTTCCAGGAGGGATGTTGCAAGTCTTTTTCAGGACAAAAGAAAATAACGACAACAAAAAGGTTAGGGGGTCAGCTATGTAAATGAACACCAAGAAAGCATCTAATATATTATTCTGTAATACAAAAAGAAGAAATCTGACTTGATCGCCCTATTATAAATTTGCTAAAAATACAGATATATATTTATATTTTTATATATATATAATTTTTTTTTAAATCTGAACAGAAAAATAGACTACTCTGGAATGCATGAAAGTCACATGACTGTTCCATACATCAGATACTTATAAAGCCAACACAATGGCAAACAGAAGGTACAGAGGTAACTAGAACATCTGTACTTTATTAAAGAACTATTTAAAGCCATATTCTCCCCAAGTGGGTGATCCTAAAGCAACCTAAGGTAACACTTGTTCAGTCTGATTACTGTAAGCAGAAGTGACTGACCAGACATGAAGAAGTTGGAGCTAATTTGGAGTCGCTGGGGAAGCCCACCTCCCCCTCTTGCTCCTGACTGAGCTGCGTAGGAGGGCATCAGTGCCACATGGTCTCCATCACTTGGTTACTTTTTATTCAGTAATTCTACTATTTGCTTTAAAATGAGGTGTTAAAAACTATTGGAGATCATGTTATGTGGAGCTTACCGACAGAGAGAGAACTTGGCTTTAGAACCTTGCCTTTGCGATGAGTTTTAAATACCCTTGTTATTTACTATAAACTGTACCAGTCATAATTCTGTCAAGACATAAATATACAATAGGTACAAATATTAACAATACATTACAATTTTACAGAAGAGAATACTGTTTTCCTTAGAAATGTGTATCTTATTAGCTGCAAGGGAAGAAAAGGCTACAGTTTATCACAGCCATAGTTGCCAAAGAAACCGACCACCTCAGATGTGTTTCTGCGTGACTTGCACAGACAGATATTCCCCGGCATTTGACACACAGCATGTTCAGGAAAGGAATGTGCGTTCTGCGGGTTTTCTTTTCCTCTTTTTTTTTTTTTTTTTTCCTTCTTCTACCTTTATTGACTCTTGAACTTTTCAGAAAAATGTGGATTTCACAGGAGACTCTTTTGCTTCTTTTTTTTTTTTTTTTTTTTTCCCCATAAGTGTGCTTAGGTGAAGTTTCTAAGAAAAGGCACTGAGAAATCTACTGCAATGTGACTGCTGTTTTCCTCTGTTCAAGGCTAAAACTCAAAGGATCTTTGCCTCCTGCTTAAGAAAGCTGCACCCATTCCTTCCGCGCATATATATATATATATTCTCTCTCTATAAATATTTATATATGTATGTATTAAAAATGATGTTGATGGCGTAAGATACAAGCAAGCACAGACATCACACACACATAGTCCTTTCAGATATGATGTCTTCTGCAGCAGCAGGTGAAACTCTGTCAGCTTGCTTGATACATGATGCACAGTAAATTTGCAGACCTGAATGCCAAATATCAGTGATTGAACTTCACGCTTTAGCTCAATGCAAGACATATTGCATATTTTCCCCAACTGTTACGAGCTTTGAGAAACATGTATCAAACAAACTATAAAATGAAATTGTCTTTCTTGTGTCTATAGGATTTGGTGAGCATTACGTTTTCAAAGCACTGCCTTTCCTTTTGTAATGAGTACAGATTTAGTCTACCATAGCTTTATGTTAGAGTAGATTTCCCAGTGCTTACATTATATATATGTGTATTATGCACACACACACATATATAGATACATACTTCATATTCAGACTTTATTTCATTAAAATAAATTAAACATATTTCCTTTTTAACTGGGCACAAAATGAGAGCTACATCTTCATACACAAATAAGAAAGAAATGCTCTTCAAGCATATTATATGCTTAATTTTAAATTATTTGCTTTCTATAAGAAATCTATAGGACTTTGGCTATTCAGACTTAAAAGGTAGATTTTTAATGATACTTTTGAATTTGGCTTTCAAAAGTGACTCAATAAAATGCTACTTTAAAGGTAGGACTAAATAGATGACATAAGGTGTGTGTCGTGAGTGATCACACAAGGCAGACAGAGGGCCTTTGGTTACAAGGAGAGTTGCACCAGTTGATTATCAGTTAAAAAATGACAGAATTGTTGATCTATACATTTTTGTCAGTGCCATCTATAAACCAAATACATCAATTTGGATGAGAGTGTGGTAAATACTACACTATATGGCTATATTTAAATACGTTCACTTTAGTGATATGTAAAATATGACTTTTTTTCCACATGAAAGCATCAGCTCTAAAAATATTTAACTTGGAAATCACTATTACTTACTTTATCAAAAAAATTTTCCCTGATTTTTCTTCTTTTTACATTTGTGCTGATGGCAGACATGAATGTTCACTGAAACATAGAGATTATGTTAAGACTGTTCTCTTTAAGATTTCTCGTTGCCGCTCTGTGGCCTCGGAAAGCCACAGAATAAATCGGTATTTAAAGCTTATCTGCTGGAAAGTCACTTTACTTTTTTGTGATGACTCAATCTTAACTAGTATCTCAGCAATACATCGGTTCCTCTAAGTACACTTGTATTTACTATGGCCAAATCCTAAAGTCCTTCACCAGGCAGAGCCCACTCAGAGGAACGGCGGTTTTGTCTGAGTGAAGGCAGAGTAAAAGCCGACGAACCTCAGGAATTGGCCCTGCGTAAATACTCTGCAGAGTATCATTTGCACGCGTAGGTGCCTTGGACTTATTTTGTGTACCTCCCGCATCACTCTTGGCATGGCTCGAGGTCTCTGTCGCTGCCGGCGGGCTAATTCGTGAGGTGGTGGCTCAGGTCTTACTCGTGCCTTCCCCAGGGTCTTGCCTTGCTGGGACGCAAGGGCGACTTCTGAGCGGGTACCTCGGGCTGCGTCCCACCGCCCGGGGATGGGGTCGGCTGAGCAGAGCAGAGTTAACTCCAACACATGTACAGTTTTGTGCCAAGGAGAGACCTAACAAAGCTATCATTGTAACCCATAATAGTTCCTAAAACATATATGTGCTTATTGCTTTTGTCCGTACATGCTGCATTCACTATTACGGATTACAGACAGAAGTACTGTACAGCTTGGACGGACAGACATTTACATTCAGGACTAACCAACAGCTTTTTTTTTTTTTTTTTTACAATAGGAAGGAACAAAACGCAGCGGACTCAAGCGGCTCGGGGTCTTCTTCCCGCCTGTGCACCTCCGCTCCCGCGTCCCATGTCTCAGCACGTCCCTGGACCTGCTGCATGCAGATTGTTACATGCCCCCGCAGGTACTCAGAAATAGGCCAGGAAACGCTCATTGACAGAGTTATTTACAATTGAGTTTTACAGTAGAAACAGAGAACAACATAAGAGATTACCATCACAGTTATCACAGGACAGGTTGTGACTTGCTACAGGCGTGTAACAAATCACGGTCACGACAGGAGGCACAAATTAAAATAGTGCTTGGTTAAAGTGCTTGATTGTTACACTCTGCTATCCTACTCCAGCATCGCAACAACAACAACAACAAAAAGTCAACGTAAAGTGCTTTTCCCCCCCAAGATTAAAAACCAAAGACAAATTATTTCCTACACAATGTGACGTAACTTTATTGAAACAATAATATTTTAAAAACCTAGGCTGGTGGCTGCTAGTTCTGTTCATTTAAAATGGTCAGATCTTTTTTTTTCTTTTTTTTTTTTTTTTTTTCTCGTTTCGCTTAAAAATGACTGGATGTTATTAAAACATCAGGCCTGATTCTCCTGTCTCTCGCAGCCGCTTCACACCGCAACTCTGCAGGAGCCGCTCCTGCCCGACCTCCTTGCGAGAGAGAGCACAGCCAGGCCTGGGGCGGGTCGCTAACGAATCCCTCTTTTTGCATATTTATGTAACGCTTGCATATCTTTCGCTGCGCCGCTCAGGCGCAAAAAGCTTCACACCGACTGGTTCCTCTCCTACGCCGGGGGCGAGACTTTGGCTGACGCCTGGAGTCGGCGTGCGGGCGGGAAGGGGAGGCCCGGGGAGCCGTCCCGGTACCCCCGGCACCTACCGCAGGGGCCAGCCGCAGCATCAGCGCCGCGCTCGGCCGTCCCCGCGGGGCAGGGCAGCGAGCAGCTCCCTTCTGCGGAAGGGTAGGGCGAGAGCTGAGCTCTCCTTCCAGCCCTACGCTCCCCGGTACCGGGAAGGGGGTCTGGCTGCGATGCCTCCGGAGAGTCCTGCTTCTGCATGGCTCCTTCACACCTTCCCAGCGTGGGCTGTGCGTCCCCTGAGGGCCACGCGCTGGCCCTGGGGCAGGTATCGATTTTTAGCAGAGGGTAAGTGCAAGTTTCACTATGTCCTAGGGGATGTTTGGAATTAGATACAAGTGGTGCAACTCACCCTGCTGATGTTTCAAAAGAAAACGTCAGGTCCTACAGGATATCGTATTGTTAAACACATACAGAGCATTTTAATAATTGGTTTCCCTAGACTGCTATTTGTTTTAAGTGTTTTTCACTTGGATTTTCCAATAATGCAAGTGTTCCCTGTTACCTTTAGACATAATATCCATCAGAGAAAGCTGTAGATGGGGAACAGCTGCCCTGAAGCAGTGAGCACTGTGTTTTTGATAGCTTTATACCAACCCCAGCAATTTATTCCAGAGTTCAAATCTGGCTGCCTTGGCATCCTTTATGGAACTAATGCAAATCAGATGTTAATATTTCCAAAAGGAGCTCTAGCGTTCAAGGGGAATGGATGGATATTTGGTCACATTGGCTTCACTGGACAACATGAAAGGAGATCAATGTGTGATCATGATTTGCAATCCTTATTTTTGACTGATGTGGGCAACGTCTTTAGAGTTGTTTCAGAGAAGGACATTTTCACAAACCCACACTGGACCTCCCCCAGACTTTTAGAAACAGGTGGCTTGTTTCAGCCAAGTTCATGCCATGCAGAAGCTCTTTTTTTTTTTATGTTGACTGTAAAGACATTCCTTTAAACTTTCAGTAAGTTGTCTTGGAGCCCATCTCAGATGCTTTGATCATGTGTGTTAGCATGTCCTCCACTGCCTGGTAATACATGGACTTCTGGGGAAATGTGATTTTCTAGTCTGACAGTCTCCTGATTGCCCTGGGTTCTTCCAGTGATACCTTCCATAGAGTAAATGCAGTTTTGCCCTATCAGCTTAGGGGATGTGGGTAAAGCAGCAGCTTCTAGATGGTTCTTCTCTGTTCTATAAATATTGTCCTTTTGCTTTAGATAGCCACTGTTTGTAACATTGTACTTAGGACTCACATTTCCGGGTGGACTTGAATCATAAAGCAGCTGACCTTCATCATCAGTGTCAGCATCTATATATTTGTGTATACCAGCATCATGGAAGTTGAAAGCTATGGCTGTCTGCGTCTCTGGTGACTTTGGGGGTGTTCTCGCACTTGCTGTTGTGTAGATCGAGGTTTCTGGGCTCATGAGAGATCTGTCAGAGAGTAAGGAAGTATCTGTGGCAGCAGCAACAGCTCCCCGGCTCTTGAGAGGGTCTGGATATATTCTCAGTACATTTGATGCTGGTACTAATGTGCTGGTGTCTTCTTCCATGAAGTTGACTTTCAGAGATCTTAGTTTTAAAGGGTTACTGGCCTTTATGGAGCTTTTGGGACTTTCTATGAAAAAAGCAGAATGGTGGCTGCCTTCGGAGCTTGGGTTCATTTCCACAAATCTGGCACTACTCCCCTCTGGCCTGCTCTGCTCCTGAATCACGTTAATGCCACCTTTGCAGGGAAGGGTAGCGAGGGGGCTGTGGGAAAACCTCCCGGAGTCAGGGAACTCTGCAGCGCAGCTTATGAAGCTGTCAATGCTGGACATACTCCTCATGTCAATGATCCCATCTGTGCGAGTTGTCAGCAAGGGTACCATAGGGCCGGGAAGCGTTTCCATTTCTAGCTCTTCCTTTTGCTTTCCAGGTTGACTCGATTCTTTAGTGTTAAGGTTTGGCTGGGACTGTGTCTTTGCCATTTTGTTATACATGTCCTCTAGCTGTTGGACATTCAGGTGCTGGGGACTTGAAGACGACCTGGCTTTTTCTGGAGATCCTTGTTCCTTAGTTTCAAAAGATTTACTAGAGCTAGTTTCAGAGAGCGTTCTCTTGGTCCATTTCCATTTGCTGGGAGATAAATGATTGTCCTGAACTTTATCCTTTTTGGCTATGCTTTCTCCATTCTTTTCAACCACAATGTCCATGAGTTCTATACTACGGGCAAATGCATCCTTCATGTTCATGGAAACAATACTGCCATTCCTTTTTGCTCTTTCAAGAGCTTCCCTGCGCTTAATGGCTTTCTCCTGCCTCTTCTGCTCTTTGTAGAACTCAGAGAAGTTATTGACAATAATTGGGATGGGAAGAGCAATCACCAGCACTCCAGCAATGCAGCACAGTCCTCCTACTATTTTACCTAAAAGTGTTTTGGGGTAGATGTCTCCGTAGCCTACTGTTGTCATGGTGATTGTTGCCCACCAGAAAGAAGCTGGGATGCTCTTGAATTTTGTATCATCCTCATCCTTTTCTGCAAAAAACACTAAACTGGAAAAGATCATAATACCCATGGCCAAAAATAAGATGAGTAATCCAAGCTCATTGTAACTCCTTCTCAGTGTAAACCCCAAGGACTGTAAACCCGTTGAGTGCCGGGCAAGCTTTAGAATCCGGAGTATCCTCATAATCCGAAATATTTGGACAACTCGTCGTACGTTTTGGAACTGAAGTACACTTTTATTGGATTCTGTGAGGAAGATAGTGACATAGTACGGTAATATAGCTAGCAAGTCAATAGCATTCAGTGGACCTTTGAAAAACTTCCATTTCTTAGGCGAGGATAGGAACCGCAAGAGGTATTCCATTGTAAACCATGCAATGCACACCGCTTCCACGTGGGCAAGTTGGGGATTATCTGTGGTCTGCCCAAATTCATCCATGCCTTGTAGTTCAGGAAGTGTGTTAAGGGACAAGGCAATTGTAGATAGTACAATAAACATGATGGAAATGATTGCCAAAATCTGGAAAGGAAAGAGAAAACAGTGAGTTTATCTCAGAATATATTATGCTATCATTGCCATTAACACATGGCTGTATTTCCACTTACACATTTTAAGAATATTTTTGCTTTTAGTACACAGAAGTCAGATAAACAATGCATCCTGAGGTGATTTTATTTTGGAAGCTGCTTTAGTTATGTCAGATGCATAAAGGAGATAAAACACCTACTTCAACTCTTGTGCCTTCATTTCTATGTAGTCAAGGAATGTGTACCAAGCAGCTAGGATGCCAGGAGGGCTGTGAAGCAGTTCACAGCAGAAGCTTTTGATTAACTACTAATTAGGTGCCCAGCAAAGCCCATCTGGACAACAGGCTCTGAAATCTAAGCAAGAAGGAATGCAGTTGCGAATGCAAGATTAGATCAGTGATCTCCTCCATTTAATGCACGGTTACATCTATAATTTGGGGTGCCTATGGCTAATTACAGAGATATGTGTACAATTCTACTATACATAAGCGTACAAGTAATGCACTTTTTTTTTTTATTGGCTCATCTCTAATTTGAAACTCGACTGTTGTAAAATACATGAAAACTTTACCAAGCTTTCTAAAACATTTTGAGCTCTGAGCTACTCTGCATGTGACTGACTGGCAGTCCTAGCTCCTTATCACAACCAGGGGAAAGAGCAAACTTGTCCAGGCAAAGCAAACTGCACAACAGTGAGATAGTCAAGGCAGGGCAGGCCCAACCACTGGAGAGCTCATCCATTATCAGAAACCAGCTTTGGGCTAAAGAGTGCAATGAGAGGAGAAGGGTCTGTGGTGAGCAGCCTCTCTAAAAACCCACACATATCTGATCAGATCCTGGGCCACCGACTCTGTGCAGAGCCTGGAAGCATGAAGTGCAAGATTAGTATATTTGCAGCTTTCAGATAGTGTAGTCAGGCTGTCCTTCCATACCTGTTTTATATAGACATTAATGTTATACTTTCCAGTTTTCCCTAATTACATCTTCTTTTAAAGCCATTTTAAGGAGGTTTTAGAGCTGACAGACAAGCTGAGGAGTGTTTTATTCTACTAGAGAATTCTTTCTCTAGTTTGTTAATTGGGTGGGATTATATCTAGTTTCTTAGGTTACTGCCAAAATACAGCAATGATTTCAAAACACACGTATATGTGACTAATGTTTTATGTATTCATTTCAGTGTAAGCTGGTCCCTTATGCTTGCTTTTCTCCTGCTTGATAGAAAAGCAGCATGAAATCAATTACAGCGTAGGTACATGATGATTAGATGCAATGAAATATAAAATGTATGACAAGAGTTCTGCATCAAGAATTGCAAATCTGACACACTCTTCCTTGCCCAAAATAACTAGATTTTAGGCTTCCTCACAGTGACCTTGCTCAGCCAGCCTCACAATACCAGAATAACCACAGTTACCACCTGGGGTACTGGAGAAAGAAATTCTTGCAGGAATTCTTTTCAGCCAAACCCAGAACAGACATCCTACCAGTTAGGAAATACTAGACTTTTGAGCATTTAACCCTAAACAGTCACTACAGCCGAACAAACCTTGCTGCTGTAGGAGAAACATGCAGATCCAATATGGTTCAGAAACACTGTAGTCTTCTCAAGAAGACCCACACCTCCAAAGCTGAAAGGCAGAAATGATCTACAAAGGCTGGAAGCTTCACTTGACTTAAATTCATATAGCAAACTTAAGGTATGGTTTTATGAGAAAAGCCCATATACCTTCAAAAAGTCCAAATTTAAGGCAAAAGTTTCAATTCTTAAACTTTGATTTCAACAAGTGTTTTAAAATCCACTTGCTGTTAAGAAAATCCCTTCCTAATCAATGTAATAAAACCCTTTACTTTTTAACTCACTAGAATGTACTATGTAACTTTAATTTGTACATGACACTGCAGACCTAGTAATTTAATCTGAAGAATGAGATTTGACTAGAAACAAAAATTAGCTCCATTAAACACTCTGGTTTCATTACCTAAATTGAATTAAATGGAAGAAGTGAATGGTGTAAATAGCCTCCCCTATGCAATGTTCTGGTACTGGGAATTTTAGAATAGCCTCACTTTCAGTTACTAAATTCTTGCCAGGAAAAATGCTGGGAAGATTCCTTTTCCTTTTTAAACAGTTTGCCTAAAAGGATGTTTGTTGTTAGCTGTGCACCCTCACAGTGCTAGCAAATCTTTTGCCTCTTCCTTGCTGCCTTTCTCTATCACAAATTTGCTGCTGAAATACAAACAACCCCACAACAACTTGTGCAATGGTGGTTTTGCCTTGTTGAGAGATTTCTCAGGTTAATGAGCCAAAGAAGCTGTGGGAAAGACCCGGGGGATGCAAAAAAAAGCAGGAGGAACCATGGGATGAAGAGAAGCAGAGAGTGACACAGGAAAAAGTGCTTGAATTGATGGCTTCAAAGTGGTGAGAAATTTAGATGTTAACTTCTTCTGCATAGTTGTTTGTTTCGAAATACCATCTCCTGAAGACCAGTCAATACCCCTGAGAAGCAGGGAGCATGATTTGCTTCAGTAGAAGGCTCTTTTAGTGTTTTTGCTGTCATTTCTTTGTTTACAACCCAACACTTCTGATGGTGTTTGGGATGTTTTCAATGGTAATTTAATTTTTTTTTGCTTGGTTTTATCTCTGCCCACTATATGAAGAAGGGCTTATTTGTAGACTTAGATGTACCTAGTGTGTTTTATCTCCTTCACTTTCAGTGTAAATATTAACACTCCATATTTATTCAGTGGATGGCATCCAGCAGCAGTAATTGGTGTCAAACCTTCTGTTTCCTTTGATATACCTTCCTGCTTTGAAGATCAAGGCAATGTCAGATGAATATAAATTTGAGAACTAGGAGATGCGAGAGTAAAGTTTGGTTTTGGTTTAGCAGATTTAGCCACAGAGCTAAGCAATAAACAGAGAGAGACATTTATAATTTCTCCCTCAAGTTGCAGCAAGATGTCACCTATGCTCCTAAAATAGAGATTTTCCCCCTTATTGATTTTCTGCAGTCATACACCTTTGGGAATCTTGTCAGGTTAAGAAAAACTTCTAAATGTGAGTTAACTGTCCTGTGGTATTCAAAGCACTTTTCAGTTGGAAAGTACAAAAAAAATGGGAGATAAAATATCTCTAGCAGGATTTAGAGGATCTTTCTCATTCTCTAAAGCATTCCTTGTCCTGGTAACATCCACAATCCAACAAAAACCACCCAAGGAACAGTTGTCTACAGAAAAATGGATCCAGCTGCTGCTGTCAGGCATTAGCTTTGCATTCAGTGGCACAGGGCTCGATCCCAATGTATTTACAGTCTGGGATTTCAGATTATAGAAATCACCATCTGTCTGTCTAAATAAGGTTTCCTATCTTGGCCATACTAAACCTCTAGCTTGGCAGATTTCATATTTTTCACTGTCAGTAATGAGACAGAAAGCTGAAGGAAATACATTTATACCACCAAGAACACCTCTAGAGACGCTCTATGTGGCAGGCAGGCCTTTCATTTGATTCCTGGCCTTTCCTCCTTCTTTTTCTCTTCCAGGTTCAATTCTCTATCAAGAAAAGCCAATGGGACAGATCTGGACTTGAGCAGAAAAGATCCCTCTGCAGTGCATGAGGCTCCAGCTGCTCAGGCAAGCAGTCACTGGAAAAAAAGTGCCCGCTGTCCCTGCTCCAAAGCACTGACCCAAAACCTCGCTGCTGCATCGGCTCCTACCTGCTGCTTGAAATGGGAGCAAGCATGGGGAGAGGGCCTCCTCCTGGTTTTCATGATTCCTTAAAAAACATGTAACACAGCCTTGTGCTGTTGAAAACTTTTGGACTGGCAATCAAAGAGCTGAGGTTGAGCAGGTTCAAGCACAGAGAGGTCCCTAGAGTGCAGGCTTGGACTTGCAGAAGGAAAAGGAATGGGAAACATAAGCATCAGGGGCCTGTTCAATTTTGTGAGAGCTGCTGAAATGTGCATATTTGTACTTACAAAGCTAGATGTAACCCCCTCCTAGGTCTTATTGCTGGCTTATCTGGGATATGCTGTCTTGTTATAGGGGCTGGGGAAAGCTCCTCTAATGTCACTGCAGGGACATCCAGAGCTTCTGGCTTGGATGCCCCATATCTGCAGTAGATTCTCTAACATGCATAGCTAAAACAATGGAAAAGGTTGCAGCCTAAAATTTGGAGGCATAGGAAAAATATTTGGAGGCACAAAAGGTTGACGTGACTGGCCTGAGGACTGGCCACATTGGTGGCAGAGGGAGGTGAGGGAATCAATCCATGTACTTCTGGTGCCACATCCATGAGAGCTGTTCCCCACTGTCCTCACATGGGGTCTGTCAGAGCTCATGACAGGAGCTCTGACAGGCCAAGTCTTACTGGGCAGTTATCCACAACAGAGCATCACAGACACTCCTTACACCAGTCATAAAGCTGACAGGGTTTAAGACTAGTTTTTCCCTGCACAACTTGCAGACCATTTCCACCAAGAGATTGCATTAGAGAAGTTATATAGTTCCTTCCTCTTTGCTTCTGTATTTATTCTGACATTTCACCTGTAGCAACACTCCATAAATTGTGAAATTCCCCATCAGGTACTTTTCTAGGTGTCTTGCAGAGGGTATTGGATGGGATCCTAATGACAGCACTGGCTTGTAGTGCAAGGCTCAGTATGTATGGGCAGGATTCCAGAAAAAAACTTCTCCACTGAATTGACTGTTTCACAAAGATTTTTATGGAGTGAATCTCTGGATTGCTGCTATGGCTCCTTTGTGAAAGCTAAATAACCCAAGGACAGGCAGGGCAAGGTTTTGAATGAATTTAAAGCAGTTGCCTCAAAGCGATTAGCATGATTGTACATACATGCTGGTTATTACACATGCAAATGAGACAAGCAAACTGATTATGTGAGTAAGTGTAGTCAGTTTGTGTGCAACTGCTGCTTCCTGAGGCAGGATGGATGTGCCATGCTTGCAACCCATTAATCGCCACCACCTCCAAAA